ATCCACCCTGGACCATACCACACATTCCATCTAGACTACACTTCCACTGCAGCTATCACATCAATATAGTCATAGTTTTACATGCTCTCATAAGGCCTTTAAATGGCCACATAACTCCAACAATAAAATTCATGTCTGACCTTAGTTTTGAGTACCCTTCCGTTTGTGAGCAGATCATAACTAGCACTAACCTTCCTTCTCTCAACAAAGTGGACTCCTATCTTCAAGGGGTCACTATACCTACTACTCCATTGGCTGTCAGTACTAGTTGTGGATCTTCCTTGACTTCCTCCACGGGCAAGGGTATTGGTACAGGTTATGGTGGTTGTAATAAAGGACATGGTTGGGATTTAGGGGGAGATCGTGGTAAAAGGTTGAGGTAATGGGAAGTGCACCCACTGTGGACGGACCAACCACACGGTTGAAAATGTTGGTATAAGTTTGGTAAGCCCGCTTGGGCCACTTAGGCGGCCTTTGTTTCTGAGAGTGATGATATGCATCTAGTTGGCTCCAGTGATCCGAATCAGGCTCTTAATTCTGCCAATGACTCAGTTTTCCTCTCGCATGAAGATGACTATAAGCAAATCAAGAATAGTCAACAGCAATATACTCATCCCTCTTCTTCCACTGCCACCTTGGCAAATATATGTATTTCTACATTCTTTGTATCTCAGAGGCCATCTCCTGAGGCCACTGATTCAAGAACCTCTAATCATATGACTGGTGAGTCTTACGTGTTTTCAATCAATTAGATTCCACTGCTTCTATTGCATTAGTTGATGGTCCTTTATCGAGTGTGTATGGTAAAGGCATTGTTTGTCCTACTTCACTTTCATTGTCATCTATTCTTTATGTTCCAAAGTTTTCATTTGGCTTGCTATCAGTCAGTAAAGTAACCGAATTTATTTAGTTTTAGCGACTTTCTATCCTTTAAATTGTGTTTTTCAGGATCTAAAGATGAAGAAGATGATTGGTGGTAGTCGTGAGTTTGGTGGACTTTACTATCTCAATCGTAGTTTGGTGTTGCTTTTCATTCCATTGTTTCCCCTCATCAATGGCATTGCAGCTTGGCTATCCATCTATCAATAATGTGCAGTTGTTATTTCCTTCATTAAAGTCTGTATCAACCCTAGAGTGTGAGGCTTGTGAGTTAGGCTAGCATCATAGGATTTATTTTCACCCTAGAGTCGATAAATGAAGGTATAAGTGTTTTACAGTTGTTCATTCAGATGTTGGGGTCCTTATAGAGCTCAGAGTCGACACAAAGTTAGAACTTTAGAGGGATGTTCTAGAAGCTAATAGTTTCAAAATTAGTTGGACTAAGAATCTATGGAATGCATGTTTAGTAATAATAGAAATAGAAATGAGGAAGTAGTTAAGTTTGATGGCCAAGAATTACCTAAAAGAGATTATTTTTGATATCTTAGTTTGATAATCTATGAGAACGGAGGGATTGAGGAAGATGTCGTGCATAGAATGACCTAGGTAGGTAAAGTGGAGATGTGCATCCAGAGTTTTATGTGGTCACCGCATACCAATGAAATTAAAGCGGAAGGTTTATAGGATGGTTGTAAGATATACGATGGTTGTAAGACCAGCCATGCTCTATGAAGCGGAATATTGGGCTGCCAAGAAACAACATATACATGGGATTGGTGTAGCTGAGATGAGGATGTTGAGATGGATGAGTGGCAAGAAAAGAAAGGATAGAATGGCTAACATATAGAGTAAAACGAAAGGATAGATTTAGCTATTCAAATAATGTACATATAGAGTAATGGCTCACACTGCATATGAACTGATGTGACTAAAAACCTTGATGCAGGAAATAATATTCTTTGTTACTGAGCTAATGAAAATGCTCTGTGACATTCAAGCAGCCATACATATCACTAGAGTACCATTTTATTCGAAATAAATGGAAATTTGATTACAACTCCATATGTGAAGTTAAAGGATCAATTGGCTGATATATTCACCAAGGCTCTTGGTCATAACCACAGTCGGCAAATATGTTCTATGTTGGGCATGGGTGATATCTATTCTTGAGCTTGTGGGGGAGTGTTAAATATTAATTTAGTTTATGGTGTGATGAGTGTTTTCTGCAGTGTGGGTATCTTTGTCCTTTCTATAAACATTAGGACATTAGGTTTCTAGGTTTCATTAAATTACTTACAAGGGGCATTATTGTAATTTGAATCAACATTGGTATAGATACATTAAGAGGTTCTTGGGGACAACTCTATTGGGTTTTGTTGCCTTAGGCCTAAAGAGCTTATAAAAATGATAACTTTATAGGGGAATATATACTTCAGTGGGGGTGTGTGTGTTGATTGGACATATGTTGGGTGGTTTATGACCCTGGTTATGTCCAAAACCCTTACCCTTGGGCATGTGGCACCACCGAGAAGGGTTTACAGTGGGTCATCCCTTATTGAGGTCAGAGAGATGCCCATAGATGATGTTTGTAGCCCAGGACAACTGTGTGGTCTCCTGTGTGCAGTTGTAGCCCTGTGATAGCACAACTCAACAGACTTCCGCACGGCATGTATACGTACATTATTTGAAAGCAGCTTGTAGAGGGAAATGTGTACATATGAATGGAGAACCCCCTTTGAATTGTAGTGACAAGTTATCGTCCCACTATTTGTTGTCTAACTTTGACAAATCAGGCATGAGCCCCTGCATTGAGACTGTGGGCCATGGGTCTTTGATGGGTTGGGTGAGAAAACAATAGTGAATTGAGACTGTTGTCCAAATTTGACAAATCAACCATGAGCCCCTGCATTGAGATTGTGGGCATGGATCTTTGTTGGGTTGCTTCCGGAATTTTAAAAATTTATTTATGCTGTAAAATCTTTCAAAAGGGAACTTTTGTTATTTCTAAAATTTAAAAGGGCTCATGTGGGGCCCAAGATCTAGCCCCACATGTGTGCCACTTATGGGTGGGACGTGGGCCATTGTGGGGACCACTTAATCTCTCTTGGGTGGCACACTCCCTTTCTTTTATTTATGTGACGTTTCTTTTTTTGTTAAAGGTTATTTTCGGGGAATCTTTTTAATGTTAAACGATGTTTTAATTAGGAGTTTGTTTTGACTCTAATTATTTTGACTTCCTAGAGATTTTGGAAAGATATTAGGAAAGTTTTGGATTGGTTATAATTATTTTAATTTAAATATTGACTTGGGTCATATTATAAGGGGATAAGGTTCCCAACAATCCTCCTAAAATCATGGTAGTTGATTTGTGTGATGGGTGGCTCAAATTTGTTCTCTCTCACCCCACAGATTTCCTAAGTTCCTATTCTTCAAGCTGTATCATTGGATAGGCAATACTTGAGGAAGAATTCTTATCCAAATAGGAGAATGAATTCTTTTTATTTAAACACCATTTTGACCCACTCTCTTAATTTTCATATTTCTCTCTCCTCCATGGACCAAGTCTCTCACTCTCTTCATTAAAAACTCGTTTTCACTTTCCCCCTTCCAAAAAGGGTCATGCCATGCAAATTTTGATTTTGATAAGACAAAAGGTGGCACATTGAAATCCTAATTAGGGCTTTGTTGTTTGGAGAAGAAAAAGGGGTATACCGACCTATGGAGGATTCTATGCCGTCAAGTCCAGCCCGAATTTGTTTATAAGGGTTCTTACAAACCCTAGTTAGGTTTCCATGCTATCTAAAACCCTAGAGTAAGAAATATTGCCTATGAAAGCTTCCCATCATTGAAATTTCAGCAAGATGAAAGGGCTCCATTCGTCAGGGAAGCAGATGCGGGGTGTATCAAGCCTTGTGAGGGTAACTCCAGGCATCTTCTAGTAAGTTTTCCTAGTAGATTTTATTATTTTTCAATCATATTTCGTATTTTTTGTTAATTTCAGGAACATTTTTTGTATTTAAAATCACAATGGAACATTAGTTTTTTCTACTGGTTGTTTTTTATTTACTTTGGCAGTAAAAATAAAAATCGTAGGTTGTGTTTAGGGTTTTAAATTTAATTTACAGCAGTGTATAGTGGCCCATATAAGTGGAATTCAGTTATATTGAATAAAAGAAAAAGAAATTTTTTGAATTTAATAACTTAAATTCCACATAGCCACTCCTTTCAAACTCAACCCTAAGGGAACTTGATCTCCTCCATGCCACAACCCTCTCTCTCTCATTTCATTCTCTCTCTCTCTCTCTCTCTTGCTCTTGTTTCTCCTCTTCGTCTCATCGTGCATCTTCCTTTCTTTTCTTTTCTTCTTCTTCTTGTGAACTTTCTTTTTTTAATAACAGCCCCAAATTAAGATTTTCCAGAAGATATGCTCAGTTTGACCAAAATTGCCATTTTTACTCATTTCTGCCTGGTAAAATTTAAAAAGTTTTTCAATTTACATCTATGACATGTTAATCATTAGTTGCATGAGTAGCTTTCTAGGATGTACACAAAAAATGCATTTAGATGTTCAGAAATTGAGCTGCAGGCTCCAAAACTATTGTTGTTGACTTGTTGTTGGAAACTGGACGTAGGCACTGTTGGTTTTGCCATATGAGGTTCTCAGACTTATAATTTCCCATGTTCTAACATTGGCACTATTTCCATGTTAAACTGAAATAAAAATGACTTTTACAATTCTTAAAATCTGGAGTTAATCCCTTTTATGTGAATGGACAAAAAGGCAAATACTGATTGCGTAATGCTGATTGCTGAAGCAATTGTCTGTTCAAGTACAAATCCATTCCTGATTCGTAAGAATGAATTTGGGTTTTGCTTCTACTTGTATAATGGATCAACCAGCTGGAAAGAGTAATCTAAAGATGTGAACCAATATACGATGCTCATTTTCATAAATTTTAATCATTATGCTACATCATCTCTATGGTAATTCGCATTAATGTAAGACCTACACGTCTTGACTTTGTATGTTACTATCTAATTTGGATTGTATTATATATTTGGTAGTTGTCCAATATGATTTGAATTTTAGTGCTTCTGTCCTAACATTCTTTCGTTGTCAGTCCAATGCAGGAAAGAAGCTCCCCTTTATCTTTGTTGTAAATCTAGAGGTAAGTGGTTCACAAAGCTTACTTATCAAAAGATAGTGAAAGCTTCTATTTCTTCTTTTTTATTTCAGCTTTCATGTTCGAAGGGATTCACAATATTCACAAGGGTATCATTATTAGATATGTCAATTCTCTTGACCTCGAAATCCTATTCGTGATATATATAATGCAACTGCAAGTAAATCTAGAACACAAAAAAAGAAAAAAGATTTACAATAGGTCATTTCTCCTGCATAATTTTGTAGTTGGCACTACAAAATCAAGCAAAGCTTGTCCTATTTTGTTTCAGAAAATTAGTTCGTTTGCTCTTGTAGTTGCTATTATTGGTCCCTTGCTTATTATGGAAATCTGCTAGTGACTATTATGGGGCCCTCGCCTATTAAGAGCCTGCGTAGTGATTATTATGGACCCCATGCCAATTAAAGGAACCTATAGTAACTATCATGGACCTCAAATCAAGAAAATATCCATGTGATGGCAAGGCACATAGACCAAGAATCCATGCATTTTTGGACACCCAATCTGCACCAAATTTGTATAATATCCTTGTATGTCTGGATGCTTTTTCTGTTGTAACCTGTATGCATGATAGTTGCAACTTGTATGCATTGCCTCATGATTTATGCAATCAGAAAGGCATCTATATCTTACCCTTTGTGTGCTTGAATATTTTTTCTCTCTTCTCTTTTAATCTTAACATAGTATTAAAGAAAGGATTGAAACAATTGGAATTTGTGGCCTTTAAAGGCCTTGAGAGCATCTTTAAAATAATATTTTTATAATGGATGTTCACACTTCAATGGGAGTCTTGTTGGACTGGCCTTGAGGTTGGGCGGTTTATGGTCCAACGTCATTGGTAAAAACCCAGAATCCCTGGGCATAGGCACTACTGTTTTCAGTAGGTCATCCCTTATTGAGGATGAAGAGATGCCAAACGATGCTAATGAAAACCTGGAAGCTGTTGGGATTCTTCCATTAGGTTGCAATACTATGAGGGCAAGTGCCAAATCCTCAACAACCACTATACGATGTGTACACATGACAGCCGCATTTTGGGAAGCATCTCTAAAGAAAGGGAACCTTGTACATATGTATAAGAGAGTGCCCCGATTGGTTGTAGTGATGTGTGTGTGCATCCACATAGATACGACTTGCTCTTAAGGGGGAACCTGAACTCCACACACTAGATTCGTACTTTCGCTATCTATTAGCCTACTTTCACGAGCCAATCAGGAACTCCTGTGATTGACTGTGGGTCATGGGTCCCTTTGGGTTTGTTTAAGAAGATAGTTGTATATCAAAATTTTTAGCATGGGCGGATTGCGTTTTATATGTCACTTTTCCTAACCCATTGGTACTAATTCGCTTCTTGATTTGTTTTAATGTGTTTTTAAAAATTTTGAACCTAGGAGTATAAATTTTCTAACTTATGCTTATATTCTTAGAGTTTTATAGTTTAATATTATTCATTAAAATCCCTAAAAAGGCAAGTTTTGGAACTTCTTATCTTTCTAGAGTCATGTTTATGGAGTGGACCATGTGGGGGAGCCATGCACCCAATCCCCACATGGGGTGGGATGTGGGGCCTACAAGGGTCAAACACCCCGCATTAAACTGACGCCTCATAGTACTCATATTATGTTGGGAGTTAGTTAAGAAAATCTCAATGGGAAGGTTTTAGTTCGTTAGAAGATATATTTTTTACTTTGAATTGAGATCTTCCTCTTGACTTCATATTTCGAAAATAATTTGAAGTTATATTTATGTGACAGAGTCCAAATTAAATTGGATTTATGGAAGGTCATAAAGGTAGATATTAGTCGAGGATCTGAGGGAAAATGGTTCTAGGATTCCTCCTTGATCATGGCAGATCTAAGGAATGGATGCTCAGATTTAATCCTCTCTTCACCTCACATAATACTTAGGACTTCTTGGTCAAATTTGAGTCCTATAGGCCATGTGGGCCTATATAAGGAGGGAACCCCCTTCATTCCTATCCATCTGTATTTGCATAGACCTCTCTCTCTCTCTCTCTCACTCTCAGGATAGTTGATGGCCCAATAAGAGGGTGGCACTCCGCCCTAGCTTGCTTCAAAGGAGGCACCCCAATCGACTTTTCTGTGGTGGTCTCAGTTTTAAAGGGTCGAAAAGAAACCGTAGTTTTTTCATTCTCTTAGCCTCAGTTTTGATAGAGGGTTATGGCATAGGTGCTTCCCACATTTAGAAGACGCAAGCAGGTCCAAGGATCAATGTTGTTGGATCTATGGCCATTCAAGGCTTGTGGGTTGTTCGCATAGTTCTAGGTCGCAATGGGAGTGACCAGGAACACTAAGGCTGCCAAAATCTATGTACTGGAATCTGGATAAGCCTAAATAACCCCGATTGCATGAGGCGAGGTTCTTAGGCCATGCTATGAACCGAGAGGTTTGAGGGTTCACTAAGAATAAGGATAAGAGAGGTGAAAATTATAAAGGGAATCAAGGATCTAAGAAAAGGAAGGATTTAAAGAATATCCTGTATTAATAATTGCAATAAGTGCCTCTGGCTTCAAAGCAAACATGGCAAAGAATAAAATGATGGGCGTCTGCCTAGAGAGTACCTTAGTTCAAAGTTTTGCTGATGGATGGGGATGTACAGGCGAGGACTTCCCATTCTCTTACCTAGGCCTTCCTTTATGCGTTGGCCTTTCGAGGCTAAATCAGTGGAGTTCAGTCATTGACAAGTTTGATAGTAGGTTGGCTGGGTGGAAAGAGAGATTTCTCTCTCCCGCTGGTAGATTAACGCTTATTAATGCTGCCCTAGCTAGTAGTACTCTCCTCTTTCTCATGTCAAAGGAAAAATGCTTTGTCTACACATGTGGCGTGTGGCACACAAAGGGCCAATGTGTGCCGCACATGCATCCCACGGGGCAACCACATCATTGGGCATGACATGGAAACCCTAAACCTAAACGTGGGACCCTTGTTTGGATATGACACATAACAGATAAGAATAATATGTTTTATGGCACATGCCTGAATCACATTTGTGGTGACATGTGCATATTAACATGTGGGATTAGAGATTTCACATTTTCATAAACTAATTAAACTCCTAAATTTATGATTTGAAGATCCCTTAGATATTTGAAATGGAGGGATTTGATTGGTGTGACGAGGATGAGGGGGACATACCATGACATAAGGTGATGTAATGTCCCTCCTTGATAATGACATTTCATGAAGCTTAAGTGTGTTACATGATTTCATAACTAATGAGCTAAGGGGTGACACGCCACCCCCATTAGGGTTTTATAAATGTCTTATGAGATCAAAGGTGGAGATTTGATGATTGAAAGATGTATGGTGGAGATTTATTGATTTTGAAGAATAGGGATTAAGGGCACTTAAGATATTGTTGGAAATTTAAGGTGTTATGTGGATATGGTGATAAAGGTATAGTCATTCATCACCATCCATGTGATAGCCATCATTGGTGATTGAATAGTCTAGGTCTTTAGCCTCTCTCAACCCTTGGATCACTCTATGGGTGGTTGAGATCTAATATAAGGTTTATGCCCCACATGAAAAGTCTATAAAAAGACATCTTCCCACTTGACTCTTTAAGTTTGTTGATTTTCATTGTGAACTCTCTATCTCTTCTCCTCAAGGCGTCATGCCCCACTCAAAATACTCTCTCTTCTACTTCAAAACTCTCGTGTTGCCTACCCCTTTCATAGTTGCTAGCTCATGACCCCATGATGAAGGCATAATGTTCATTGCCTCATCATGGAACGCCTATTGAGTCATGGCTGCTGTTATGCCAAAGTTTGGCTGTTGTTATTCCAAAGTTTGGCTGCTGTTATGTCAATCAAATGCTGCTGGAATTTGTGACAAAAGTAAGCAACTCTCATTCATAGTATTCTCTTCAAGTGCGTAAGTTTTAGAGATAAAAGGCCTTTCCATTTTGTGCATTTGTTGATGTAGTTTTATGTTATCTTGTACAAACTATTGGGACTTCAATGTTGCTGGAAATGTTAACATATGAAGCATAACAGTAACCTCTTCTTTAGCTCCATGCACCAATCTTAGCCATTTTGACCCATAGTGGTTTGGACCTTTGAACCAAACCTTAGAGCTGAAACTATTCTATTTCGAGCCCATTTTGGCTCCGAATTCTCCCCCCTTTGTTTCACATGGTCTTATGCCCAATGTTATATTGTTTTTGGGATCTATATGAGAATGAGAACTCTGTAATGTGGTGGTAAGATAGTTGCTTCCCGAGTTTAGATCGAAACCATACCCTTCTTATGCTATCGAAAGTGAGTGACAGTCAAGGGTTGTAATTATACCGTTGCGGTGTTGGCACGGTGGTTGTTTAGAAATCGATTTCCCATTGAATACTTTAAGCTCATGCACAATGCTACTTTAGTCTTTACTGTGAAGTATTTTATTTCATTTGAATTGTAAAAAGATATGCTCAAATTATAAGGGCACAGTTATTGTTGAAGACTATTGTAAAGTTTGTTCTTATAGTTTGTATTAAGTAGGGCTTTTCCCAAGGTGAAATGAAAGATTATGTGAAGTTCTTGTAAATTTTTTATTTTATGTACCTTGAGTGATTCCCTCGATACTACTTCAGTTGGAACCCAAACTTTTGAAGACTCCTCACTAAGGATGAAATTAGTGCTTTCACGGCTTTATCCTCCATCCTTGCTTAATTATGCATTTTGCTGGTTGGAGTGGACAAAATCATATGGTTCCCAAATGCATCTAGGATATTCTCCATATCCTCCTACTACCAAGTTATCCATCCTTCTCTTTCCTCTTCTGCTGCCTCTTTCTCCATTGCTGCTAAAGCATGGTTCCCGTCTATTCCACCCAAGGTCCTATTTTTTAATTGGGTCACTTTACATGAAAGAGCTCTCACTCTTGATGGACTCCAAAAGAAATGAATCCCTCTACCCAATAGATGTGTGTTGTGATTGAAGGAGGAAGAAACTAATGGCCGCTTATTCATTCACT